CATCTAATGGTGAAACAATAACCATGAAAACAGAAATTCAAACCACGACGTTTTTATGCTTTGGACAACAAATGATACCTGGATGGCAACTTCATCTCTCCTTTTACTGCATCTTGCTGTAGCCTCTCACCTCACCTCAATAGCTCGAGACCAGGGGAAGGCCAGCTAAAGCTGCCAAGGCCAAACAGACATAGGAAATGTTCTAAAAGCACAGCAGCAGGGGCAGGGGGTGCATTAGAGACAGGTGCATGGAGGTCCCTCTGGCTTTGGAACAATGATTTTGAATGTCTGAGGGAAAGAAGGTTGTTTTGAGAATGCTGTTGTTAAAATGGTGCCCAAACACACACAAAAATAAAATTGCCTTTGTCTTTAAACTTGTATTGCAAATCAATCTTGAGAATTCTTCTACGAGACTTTCACAAAGTCTTCTGGATCAAGCCACCATCACAAGCTCAATTTCAAGACCCACTTGTGCCAATGAGTTCTGCTGTGTTTGTCCACATACCCAGCTTACTGCTTTTGAATCCATTATTTTGGACCCAAAAGAGATTCCTGAACACCCAAGAAAAGAGCTCAGAGTATGGTGGGCCCTGGTGATAATTTTGGCTCCAGACCCAGCTTCACAGGGGACATCTGGGGATGGTGCTGAGATGAAGAGCAGATTAAAGGTCTTCTGGGAGCAGATAAAAGGCCCCCTGAGAGTCAGCACGAGTGGCTGGATGGAAGAGACCATTTATCCTGATCCGAACAGCACGAAGCACAGAGCCAGCTCCCGCAGGTGATAGTGCCTGGGTCTGAACCAGAGTTCACTGAAGCCTTTTCAAGCCTGTCATTGTGCTTCTAAGTACGGACATCTCAACAGATATTCTGATAAGGATCTCCCTGGTGTTAAATAGAAGGGAAGGAAAGCCCATGAGATACAGAGAAATACTGCATTTAAAAAAAAATGCTGGGGATTGTGAGGCTTTCGTGGAGCGACCTTTTATTTCTTAAGTGCGCGTTCATCCACAAGGACAGCAGGAAGGCCCACTCCATGTTTCAATCACACTTACTGTCCACTTACAGTCATGTTCTTATGTGAGCTTCCAGTGTGTAACTACCTGTCATTTTCCTATCAGATTTTAGGGGTGAAAGTGCATTGGACCCAAACAGTCGTGAAATCAATTGGCGGTTTCACCTCTTACATGCAAGAGTGCTGATTCTGTTGGGGAGGAAATATGTCAACTTGCACTCATACAAACACTTCTGCTGCATGCACACGCTGGAGAGCTCCCCCCAACACACACACACACACACACACACACACACACAGGCAATTATCAGTAAAAAGGGAGCATTTGCAATATCATCCTGAACCACATTCCTTAGTCGAAAGAACTAAAGGAGGAAACCCTCTAATTCTCAGTAAGATTAGCCTGATGTGCTCAAATAATACTCACTGGCCCAGAAAGAATGATGAAATTCCTGCAAAGAGAGGCTCCCAGGTTTAACGATTGGGTTCTTTTCTAGACAAATGTAACCACTCCCTGGGGACTATAAAAAGAAATCAAGCATCAGAATCACCATATGACTATTTCTAATGATGGCGTAAAGGTTTGTTTTAGGCGCCTGCCTCGCCCACAGCTCTTTGAAGGTAGGGACCGAGTCCCAAGTTCACTGACCAGACCCAGCCAATCAGAGCAGTTGACTCGATGAAGAATGAATGAATGAACAAATGAAAAACAGAACATCAAAGTTCTGAACAAAAGGAAAACGGTGACTGTTGGCAGCACCGAGGCTGATCCTGTCCCACCAGATACCTGCTCGCTATTGAGTGAGACATGGGAAGAATCAGGGCTTCTTCCTCCAGGTGCTGGAGAGAACGCAACTCAATAACATGACATGAAGAAGTCTGGGTAAGAGGGCCTCCCCGGTGGTGCAGTGGGTTGAGTGCAGCACTGTGAAGCTGCCCACAGCCTCTGCAGTGTGGTTCGATTCCCGGCCGGCTGGGGAGATACCCACATGGCACAGCAGACCTCTCCTGTCTCGCCCGCTGCTCCCCTCAGCAGTGTATTTCAGTCGATCCTCCTGTTCTGCTCCCCACTCTGTCACTGGCGAATCCTCTCACCCTCCCACACCTCTGGCCAGTACCCCAGCTCTTGTATAAAAATAAATAAATCTTTAAAAAAAAAAGAAGAAGAAAAGAAGTGATGAGATGAGGGCGGCAGTGGCAGAAAGAAGCAGCCAGATGAGGGACGCAGAGTCTCAGGACCTTAGGAGTCTGAGATGTTGTTTTGAAGGGATGAATAAATTGGACTTACAGGTCCCCAGGGCCCTAGTGCTAGTTTCCTCTCTCACTCTTGCATAAGAGTCTGCCAATATGCCCTCAGGCCTGTGCACCCCCGCTGTACCGACTCCCACTGTCTGCATCTCATCCCAAATGTTAGCACAAGAGTGAGAAGTTCCAGAAGGAGGCAATGCAGAGGGGCGTGGATCTACCTGGGGGCCGGGCAGGGGGAGCTCATCACCAAGAGTCTTTGGACCCTCTACAGAACCACAAAGTCAAGCCCTTAGCTCCAGCTGTGGGCTGGACACTGTCCAGGGCCAGTCCAGAAGGACTGGGAAAAGGAAAATGTGTATAAACACACATAGGTGCGTGTTACTGGGGAGAGGGTCTCTGGTGAGGATGACATCTGGTCCAGAGGGCACATTCAAACAGGACCCCTTCCCTGGTCAGCCCCTGTCTGGCCCGAGGCTGACCACTGTCCAAACAGAAGGGTGCTGGGATTCAAACTCCTTTGGTCAGGCCTCATGGTGCAAGACTTGACCTGTCGCTCTTCTCAGTCCTGACCTGTGGACAGCTGCCGAGGGGCCTTTGGGACCATCTGGACATGTTTGCCCCACTCACTGACCAGGGGCCACTGCAGGCAGTTAGCGGCTGGGGCTGGGGGTGCTAAGCAATGTGCAATGTAGAGGCACAAATGATGATCCGCCCAAACACTAATCCCCCAGCCATCTTTGGTTTCCATAGGGGGCTTGGGTGGTCTCCCCACAAAATAATCAAGGCAGATTATCTGAAGATGAAAGGTGGGTTGAATCCTGGAAGGGTGCAAACAAGGCCAAAGTGAGCAGCTGCTTCAGGGTACCAAGACAGACAATTCAGCAACCTCGGGAGACCTGTTACCTGATTTCTAGCCGACACACCAAGCCTCGTTCCTTTAAAATGTTCACAGACATTGAAATGTCACCGTTTACGTTGGAAGCTGCATCTCTTTCTTGAGGGGAGGGAAATAGGATGAAAGCCTTCGTTAGTAATCCCAAGGGTCTCAGAGCCTTTGAAACTAGATTTAATTTCTTTGAGGCAACCTATAAATTAAGGGACCTAATTGCCAATTGACTCAGAGAACACATCGTGCTCAGAAAATCAGGTGTGTCTCTGTTTACGTCGGCGCTAAAAGAGCCCCTCTTGGGGAAGGCCTATGCCTGTCTGCCTCGATGTCCCCAGCCGGAGGTGACTGTGAGGTATGCCTGGCTTTGCGCATTTAACAGAAGTGGGAGGGGGAGGGTGGTAGGAAATAGAGAGGCACAGGAACAGATGTCCCCAGATCTCTTCTCATCAGATTCTTGAATATGGGTCCCGAGTCAAGGGTCCTTGTTCTGCTGGTCAAGACATATAATCAAACTTTGCCTCTGTGCAGCCTCCACCTTCAGAATTTTAACCCGGCTTTTGGAGAGCCAGGACTTTGCTGCCATTTCATCCTGGGTGGCCTCTCCTGCCCCTCCCTGGGTTATGAAACATCCCCCGGCAGAGGCTTTACCATCCTGAAAACCTGGCTGAGCGACAGGACCTCTTAATCCCACCACCAGTGAAATCCACTCTGAGGTCTTGGTCAGATAACAGGACCCCCTCAGCCCGCAGCTCGGAGGCTTTCTCGTTCCTACTGTTCTCCAGACCCAGACAGGCGCAGAGCAGCAGAGGGAGGGTGGAGGTTAATTAGACACCTCAAGTTGAGTAGGGCTGGAACACAAGACCTTGCAACAAAGAAAATTAATCCGACAAATCCTTCTTTATCCCCCTGCCTCCGCAGTCATATCAGAAGCAAGTACAACTTGACACTAAGTGGTTAATAACTCTCATCAAGTAGGGCTGTGTGACAGGTGGTGGAAGGATTGTCACGGAGACGTGAGGAAGGATGACTTCAAGGAGAGGTTCGTTCTCCACCGTAAATCTCCTAGGTGTCAAGACCTGTCACGCTGCTCCGCCCTAGATGTATGGCAGGGACCTCGCAACAGATGCTTGGGTGAGTTTAATTAGCACCGTGGGCCGACGGCTCCCCCTCTGCAGAGCCCACCCACCACAATGGCCCAGGGGAGAATCTCACCCAGATCTAATTTTCCAGAAAGAGCGGAGGGGCCGCAGGGAGGGCCCACACGGCTCTCCAAACACAGAGGGAAGAGGGACCCCTGAAGACTATTTCCAAGGTCATTTCCAGTGACCACAGGCACAGCCAGGCTGGGGCTGCAAATGGCACTGATGGGCTCGACAGAGCCCAAGAACACAGAGCGAGGGAGAAGCTGGGGGTTCAGCCAGCCTCAGATACAAGGGAAGGAGACAGGTCACCTGAGAGAGGAGACCAGGGAGGGGGTGGGCACAGAGAGGTGCGGAGAGGGGAGGGAGAGACAGAGGGAAATGAGTCCGGAGGCGATGAGAGCAGAGAAGGGGAGCGATCTCGTTAACCCAGCCGGGAAGTCAAGTAGCTGCAGAAAAGAATGGGAAGGGTTACCATGGCAACACCTTGCCAAAAGCACAGGCTGTGCAGCTAGACCCAGGTAAGCTGCCCACTGCCTCCAATGGCCGCGTCCCCGTGGCTTCCACTCACCTGTGACACGGCGCCGGGGAGTCTGTGCCCAAGCCCCCGGGGGCTCCCATGCCCCAAGCCCTCAAGCCAGAGCCCCCGCCACAGTTCTGAAGCTCACGGGAGCCCGTCGCCTAGCAGCCAGATGGTCAGGGGAGGCTTCCTCAGGTGCTCCTGGTAGGCTCAGGTGATGGCAGGAAAAGGGCCTCGGCCAGTGAAGCACCGAGGAATCGTTCAGGGCCCACTTGTGGATTGTCAGGTTTACATGGGGTATGTTGAACCACATAAAATGGCTGCCCCAGATTTGACTCGCCCTGAGGCCAAGTGTCTGCCAGATGCTCTTGGGGGTAATGGAAGAGCTTCCCCACTGGAAAGGATGTCTAGTAAGGTGGACTTGAGCCACCCTAGCAGCGACCTGCGGGGCATCACGCCGTGAGCTGCCAGGCGGCCTGGTGTCTCGGGGAAGCAGCAGAGACAAGGCTCACGGAGGTGTCTGAGAGTCTCAATAGACCCCTGGGCCTCCTCTTCTGCCATCCTCCAGAACGCCGCTGCCTCCTCTTCCAGTTGACTCATTTGGGGTAATCGGGGAGTCAGAGGTCCCGAGACTTAGCTCTATTTTAGATAACCCACTGGCAGTCCCAGCACGGAAAATGCACGAGAAGGAAGAAAGCAAAACTAAAGACTGGAAAATGCACAAGCCAAAGAGGAAGCAGGAGCTCGAACAGGAGGTACGTGCCGACAGAGGAGCCCAGGTGGATGGGGTGCATCACAGACCCCTTCTCCTGAAGGCAGCATTGCCCCAACTCCATCCCGCATGCTCAATTCCTCATTTTTCCCAGCAGCCCACCCCTTTCCTGCCATCATCCCTAAGAATGCCTGTCTCAGCAAGTGGCACCACTTCCTCCCAGTTTCGCGGGTTCCCAACCAGCTTCCCTTCCTTTTTAGGCACTTCCCATAACTGACAGAAGGAAACAAACTGAAATGGGAGTGAATACATAGAAAGGATTCCTAAAGACCTGAAATACTTGGAACCAAGATGCCACCCTGTGCTTCTCCAGCTTAAGGAGCTTTTGCAAAACCAACATCGGAAAAACAAAATAAGATAATATGACAAGAGCCAGGCTGCCTGCTTCAGCAGCAGCCTCCTAAATCTCTGGGTAATAAAAGCTTGGCAGGAGGATCCTAACAGGGGCTGGTGCTACCCAAGTCTCTTGTAGGTTCTGTTTCCCATAAGCACATTAAAAACACATTTCCAAGTTTATAATAGAATTATGAGCTGAAATGAACGTGTCAGAACTCTTACAAATATGATAGAACCTGCTCGCCCAGCAAATGTTAAATTTTGCATAAGGAGACAGTATCCCTAACGCCTCAGTAGACACTTAATGAATATTTCTAATGAAGCTGCCATAAAGGTTCCCAATGAATTAAATGGGGTTTTATTACTGCCAGGATCAACCTCCTTGTGTTTCCTCTCTTTCTCCCTCTTCCTCACTTGCGCAAGACAAACAAACCCATCCAGAATGACCAAGGCCCTGAAGCCCGGTCATGGCGTGATCCGTTTTCTGGGCTGAAACGAATTCCCCCGCCCCGAATTCATGGCCACCCAGAACCTCAGAATGTGATCTTCCTGGGAGAAAAAGTCTTTGCAGATATAATTAGTTCAGTTACTACATGATCATACTGAATGTGGCTGAACCCTGAAGCCAAGGGTTGATGTCTTCATGAGAAAAAGGAGAGGGAGGGGCCTCCCTGGTGGTGCAAGGGGTTAGGATGCAGCACTATGAAGCTATCTGCAGCCACTGCAGCATGAGTTCGATCCCCGGCCAGGGATCTACCCACACGGTGCAGCAGACCTCTCCTGTCTCCCCGCTGCTCCCCTCAGCAGTGTATTTCAGTCAGTCTGCCTGTTCTGCCTCCCGCTCTGTCTCTGGTAAATCCTCTCACCCCCCCCCCACCTCGGGCCTGTACCCCAGCTCCTGTATGCATAAATAAATAAATCTTTAAAAAAGAAAAAGAAGAGGGAGAGTCAGGCAACACACAGATACACTCACAGGGGAGGAGGTCATGTAACAGTGACAGCAGAGACAGGAATGATGCGGCTGCCAAGGAAAGCTGGGAGTCACTGAAGTTAGAAGAGGTGGGAAGGATCCTCTCCTAGAGCCTTTGGAGAGAGTATGGCCTTGCTGACGCCTTGATTTCCCACTGGGGGGCTCTGGAACCACAAGAGTGTAGATTTCTATTGCTCTAAGCCCACCGGTTTGTGATCCTTTGTTCTGTCAGCTCAAGGAAACGAGTGGAATTGGGAAGCATGTCAACACGTTCAAACATGTGTTAATATTAATCTCCCCGAAAGTTACCTGTGTCTCTCGGTTTGGGTGATGATGGACAAGGATAACGTTGCCCTTTCATTTCATCGGCACAGACTACACCCCACCGGCAGTCCCACAGGGTCAGCCCCTTTCTTTCCAGCTGTTCTCTCTAGTAACTTCTCCATGGCATGCAACTCTTCCCCGTACTGCTAAGGGGGCGTTCCCACCCGACATCGACTAACAGGCACAAACACAGCAAAAGCAGCACGTACAAGACAGGGAGAGCTGGGAGGCCAAGCTGCCCGCTGTCTGGTATTCCCACAGGAGGCTGGTCCCAGTGGGAGCAACTTCTGCAAACACCGTAAGCACTGAGTTGTGGACCTTCAGACTCAGGTGTGGAAGTCCTGGTGCCCAGCACCTCAGAATTTAACCTTATTTGGAGACAGGTTCTTTAGAGACCATGAAGTTACAATGAGCTCATTTGGGTGGGTCCTCACCCAATGGGAGTAGAAAAGGGGGTGACTAGGACCCAGACAGGCAGAAGGAAGAGTCTGTGAGGATGGAGGGAGGAGGCAGCGCCTGCAGGCCAAGGACCAAGGCCTCGGAGGAAACCAACCTGCAGACCCCTTGAGCTCCAGTTTCCAGAACTGGGTTTCTGCTGTTGAAACCACACAGTCTGGTACTTTCTTATGGCAACTCAAGCACATTTGTAAAGAGCCAAAGGGCCTCCAGGGGCAGGCCTTGTGAAAACACTCTCGGAAATAACACCCTAACGCAGCAAATCATAAAACTGGGGTGGGGTCGGGGGGAGAGTCAAGTAAACAGGAAATGTGCTATTTGCATTCTAAATATCAGTCAGGCAAAATGGGACATCAGAAGCCCAGGAGCCTCTGAGACACGTGCACCTGCTGACGGTCCCGGGAGCCGGACACTGACCTGCTTGCGCCACCCACACAGTTCCAGAGGGAACTCCTGTGTGACTTCCTTCTTTTGTTTAACACCCGTGATGCCAAAATGCTCCTGGAAATTATTATTGTTGCACCTTTTGCTCTTCACCCTTCGGCAACATGCTTTCGTAGTTTTGGGTATTAAAAGTGTGGTGCGTCTCAGAAGCCTTGATGCTCTCGCTCTGCACAGACAGGTTTGCTGCATTAATGGAGACGCCCAGGGAACAGGTGCTGGCCGGAAAGGAGGGGCCACGCCGGTTCCCAGACACCTCCTCGCAACTAGGGAGAGAGAAGCCTTCACAGAGTCCCTTAACCAACCAGTGACAGAAAGAAAGAAAAAGTCTAGTTATTAAAATCACAAGCCAAGGTAGGATGTCGACATGAATAACTTTCATCTTCAGAGATGGGAGCGACAAGAAGCCAGAATTACTGATACCACCTGAGAGCCTTCCCTCGATGCACCTTCGGAGACCTGGCTACAAAGAAACGCTCCGAATTTCTCCCAGAGCTACATGGGGTCTTGTTCTAGTAAGTGTACTGGATGTAACTGGAGGCACTGGCAGGCTCGTAGAAGCACCTCCTTCGGGGAAGGCATAGAGAGTCCTAGACAGGGGAGAAGGGAGGAGGGGCTGGCAGAGGGCGTGTGGTGCTGTCTCAGTAAGCCCCGCACTCCCCCTGGACAGGGTCACCCCAAGGAATGTCAGTTTCAAGGAAGTACAGGTGGCCGTGGGAGCTGGGCCGACGCAGCGAGCCTGACAGAGAGAACGGGGTTGCTTCTGAGAGGGTTCACCCCACAGTCTGGTGACCCTGCCCCAGGCCTCGAAATAGAATCCTTCAAAGGCCAAAATCCATTTACTGGGTTCGTCATTCAGCTGGAGAATCCCCAGTTACAGGCAAACGCTCGAGCAGTCGTAAGACGTCCGCAGCTAACACCTCGATGCTCATCAGCTCATCAAATCTTTCCCAGGCACCCAAGGGAGATGGTTGAACAGGAAAAATAAAGGAGGGAGGGATTTAAAATACAAAATTAGAAAAGGTGGGTGTGATGCCTGGAGGAGAAACAAGGGTGCTGGGGGGAGGCCATTGAAGAACACCCGAGCCCCTGGGGGCTCTCTGCGGCCCGGCCCTGGAGGTGTTGGCGTGGGGTCAGGCACTAGGGAACCTTGAGCAGCTGGAAAAGCCAAATTTTCTGCCCCAAAATGGGCTCTGTTTCCACAGGGGAGGCCCGCTAGCCGGTCAGAAGCACAGCCAACAAGGAACTCAGGAATTCAGACTGCAACACAGTTGTTCACTGGGCCATCTAGCCAAACCTAGCACTCGCAAACCAGGGCTTCCAGGCAGAGTGTCTGGGCAGAGTGCTTATTACCAGGGGCCCACCGGGAACACTCCCTGCTGGTCTCCTATTATAAAGAACAGGATTTTAAGGAAAAGGCTGCTTCTCACAGTTTCTTAAGAGCTCAGCTCCCCTGACTGAAGTACCCATTCACGCTGTGCCCCAACAACCTTTGGGAAGGCTTATGGGAAATAAACAGGGACCATCTCACATCTCAGTAAGATCCTAAGGAAAATCCATCTCTTTCTCGAATGGAAAATAATGGCTACTTCCGTGCCTTGCCCAGAGACACAGAATGAGGGGTAATTCTTCTCTGCCATGACAATGTAGCCATGAAGAAAAGAAAACCGCATTCTGGAAGAGCTTCAGCCCTCCCTCAGAACAAACAGCACATGGAAGCAGTGAGTGGCCACAGACGCCCTCAATCTACTTTCAACTACCTCCTTTACCCTAGGCAGAGAATGAGGGCACCAAAAAGGCCCATGAGGGCAGCTACAGGGGGAGGGCGAGACAAAGAAACCCAAGCTCTAGAGGAACATTGGAGCCTTCTGTGATGGAAGTCGGAGACTTCATCTCCCAGAAGCTCACCATTATTTTGCATTGAATTTCCAGAGTTTCGTGAGCCCTGATACCCAACCAGGAACCCCAGAGGCACAGAACCCCTGGCCTAATTTCTGGGATTTACTCAACTGCACAATTGTCCACGGAGAGGTACATATAAAAAAAAATGTTCTCTGACACATTCTTTATAAGAGCAGAAGTTTAGAAATACCCAGAGGGCCATCAAGAAGGAACCCATTAGGTGAGATTTTGGCCAATAACAGAACAGAATGAATCAACGCCTGGCCAGGAAACAAAGACCGAAATGGGTTGTTAAGAGAGAAACACCGGCTACAGAGCAACAGGCCAAGGAGGGTGTATAAACAGCGTCCCTGGGAGGCACAAGCAACCAGAAACTGTGTTTGTGTCTGAGATGGGAGCCTGGATCAGAAGGGATTTGACGTTGCAAGCAAAATGACATTTTAATTTTTAATCCATGTTATTACTTTTTTAATTAAAAGAGAGCTACTTGGAGGTAGATAAATAGTTGAGTAGAAAGAAAGGGAGACTGACGCTTTTAAAAGAACTTCCGGTCTCGCAAGGTCCCAAGATACTCCCAGCCTGTAGAATAATTGTTTTCACAAAACACTTGGCACCAAGACGCAAAGAGAGAAGCATCTCATAAAGGCTTTTCCCAGCTCCAGCTGCTGCTGGTGGCTCCGAGCAGCCAAACCTTCTCTCCCAGCCTATGGCTTTTCCTATTGCTGAACCAATTACGGAACAACATAAGGGCGGTGCCAATATTATTTTTTAAAGGCCGCTGCTAGTCACTAAATGCCCATTCAACCGATCTCCTTGCTACATTTGCAGCAAGCTCAAGGGCAACTCCGGATGGTACAAATAACGCACATGAGGCTCTGTCTGCATGAGGCCAGTGCCCCAGCAGCCGCCGTGAGCGTTAGCATCCCAGCTGACACTCCTAGGAGAGTCCTGTTGAGGATGGCATCCGGCCCAGTCCCGGAAACCATCTTTCGGCTGTGTTTACCTTTGCATGGGAAGTCAGCAGCAAGGACTGAGGGTTGCTTGGTAACCTGGTAACAGGCTGTGCCTCGGTGTTCCTAAGCTGGCCTGGAACTACATCTCCCTCCCACACAGCCCAGCTCACCACGTGGCCCTGGCTGCCCAAGAAGGTCCAGCAGTCCCAGGAGGCTCTCCTGAGGCGGGAGCTCCCACTGGCCCTGCAGCCCCACGACCTTATTGGAAAAGGTCCATGGAAGGGATCGTCCCTTCCCCCTTTTTTAACTGACAGCACTGCACCGGCCCCTGTGGACTGGAAGACTAAAACAGTGAGATAGGATCAACCTGGCCGACTTGACCGTCCCAGAGAAGGCTCGAGATCAGGCCTGGGAGGCTTCAAAGGGACACACAAGAGCACTAGCCAAGGACAGCTAGTGATGAGAACTGACAGATAGACTTCCATCCCTGCGCCCTGGCACACAACCCAAAAATGGCCAGCTCGCCCAGTCCCCAAAGGCAGTCCTTGCCTCTCCGATAAAAGGCAAGCGGCAGACAGCACCTGAGTCTTTCTAATTTGAGTCTGAACAGCATGTGTGCTTGGCAGATCTGTCCTTCCATCCTCTATGCCTTGAGCTCATGTACAATGAATTTTTATTTCCTGATTAGATCTTGAGGAGGAGGGCGTTGTGGGAGCCAGTGAGGATTAATCCAAGTGGGGAAACATTCAAATCCCCCATGAATAATTCATGCAGGACATAATCTGAACACAGATCACTGAGAGCTGGCTGAGGCGCCGCTGTGACCTGCGCATTTCCTCTCCCTGAGGTCCGAGACCATCACAGCCTCTGCGTGGCAGAAAAAGCCCATCAAAACGCCAGCACAGCAACACGGAGGGACGCCTCCCCCGTGAATCACCAATGTGAGCACAGTGACCAGCCACCAATCTGTTCTCCCCCGTTCATTCCATACAGGGGAGGGGGCCGCCCATTCAAAACAGCAGGTCTCCACCTCCGGATGAAGCGGGGATGGCTGGGGCAGGTGTCCTGCAAAGCCTGGGGCCTGCAGGGTAAACGTGGAACTGCAATAAATTTAAAGGCATCCAGTTGTCCTCGTGTGAACTGCCAAGGGGGTGGTTATATGCTGAGGTTGGATAGGCACAGTCCTTCCTGGGTACCCACAACGCCCTCTGAGTGGGCAGCTTTAGGAGCCATCATTCCTGTTCCTCTCAGGGACCACATTTCCTCTAGAGGAAAGACATGACATTGCTGTCACTTTTCAGGCTTTCTGGCACCAATGGGAGTCAGTGAGCTAAACCCCCAGGCTCCTAGATGAATCCAAAAGATGAAAGTCAGGCCACTACATGAAGATGGGCATTCAGTTGAGGGGGATCATCATTCCGAGGGGGGAGGCAGAGGGACAAGTGTCCGCACATTGTAACCCAAACAGACCTGATCCCCATCAGAGGGGTCCAACCTGGAAAAATGATCAAAAGGCACTGACACCCCCTGTTCAGTAAGCTGACAGTTTCGGGAACAGACAAGAAGGGTAGGCACTGTGCCAGACTCCAGCTCAGTCCCGTGCAGTGTTGGGGTGAGTCATCTGGAGACAGAGCAGACCCCTGGCATGTCCCCTGCCCTCCCTCCACCACCAGCCCCAAGTCTCCACTGTCCAACCCCACTCAGGGTCTGCAGCAGGGAGCTTGCCTGAAAGAAGCCCAGCGCTACCTATCCTGATGGAAAGTTCGCTCTCGGAGAAAAGCAGCTCGGGACCCTCGGGGTCACACTTCTTCATCAGCACAGGGTCGAAGTTCAGTGCCAGAGCAGTCTGGGGGTCTTCTGCCGCACCCTGAAACAAGAAGCAGTGTGTCACTAAAGCACCTCTGCCACCCTCACTCCCCAGGCCTCTGCTACCCACAGCTGCCCAGGCACCTTGCCAGTGTCTACCAAGGTCACCAGCGATGGGCCCAGTCTAGCTGTCAGACCAGACCCGATCAGCAGGAAGCAGATGAGCTTGCTGGTAGGAGAACTTTAGGGGAGACTGAAACTGGATCTGAGGAATCAGTGTTAATCCTACAAATGGGAAAAACAGACCATAAAAGATGGGGGCTGCATATCCCACCCAACATACACACACACACATACACACACATGCCTCACCACTACCTGGCAAAGGCACAGTGGCCCTGAGGGCTCAAAAGAAGCCTGGGTGGCAGGTTGGCTCAGGTGGCAGCTGCAGTACAGGGACCATGGCCAACAGTATTAGGAATTCACCATCTTCACGGTCTCGGGAAGTCAAAGGGAAGGAAAACGAAACCACATCAAAGGAAGAAACAGTGAGAGTCTCAGACACGTGTAGCTTGCAGTTAATTCTACCGCGCTTGGAGCTCCTGCTAGGTAACTCATCAAAGCGACTGTTCTTGCATTAACGAGGCAAAGTCATGCAACTTATCCCACGTTTATTTGACATCTGTACCATGACTTTATGGCTACTTGGTGAACAAGACAGAATCCCAACTCTCGTTGAGTTTGTGTTCCGGTTAGGAGCAAATAAACGAGCTCTTAATGAGGCCATAAGCTTCACTTCCTAACCCTGCTGACAGCTTACAAAGCACCGAGTCTCGAGGGGACCCAGGAAGATGGGGAACCCAAGCCCAATACCTCCACTCTGTCCAAATAACCTCAATGCTAAGAGAAAGTAAGTAGAATCACATGGAACAAGAAAGAACTATTTTCTAAAACCAGGCAAAAACAGCTCCAAGAAAAGTTTTCTTTTAAAATATGTGACTCTAGGGCCACCCAGGTGGCACAGTGGTTAAGCACTGGGCTGCGCCTCTGCAGCACCGGTTCGATCCTGGCCAAAGGCGAGGGTCCCACATGGCGTGCAGACCTCTCCTCCCATGCCCTCTGCTCCCCTCAGCAGTATATTTCGTCAGTCTGCCTGTTCTGCTCCCCGCTCTGGCTCTGGTGAATTTTCTCACCTCCAGCACTTCTAACTGTACCCAGTGCTTATATAAATAAATAAATAAATAAATCTTTAAAACAAAAAATGAAATCTGTAAAAAAAAAATATGTGACTCTTAACATGGCAGGGACGGCTTATAATCCAATCGCCAAGGGGATGCCTTGCAAGCAAATACTAAAACTGTCTTCATGACACGATGATTTCATGAAGGAATTTCACAGTTATGTCTGGCTGTGCCTTATACAAGCACACACAGACATGTCCACACACAGAGACACATACACAGACACACACAGTCACACAGATGCACACAAGCACACACACAGAAGCAGATGCACAGAGGTACACATGCACAGATGCACACATGCAGAGTCACAGAGACACACAGACACATACACACAAGCACACACACAGACATATATATACACCCCTTCTTGTTTTCTCATTGTCATGATGACCAAGGATCACCAAAGAATCTAAAGATTCAGATATTTTACTTCATTATTGTTTTCCAAATAATGTTAAAAATTCAAGCATACACGTTTCCACTCAAGTCTTCTCATTCATCCAACATGTTGTTATTGTTCTAGTTGTCTATATAAAGCACTTTAATACAGGCACCAACACCTCATTTAGCCTTGTGTAATAAGGGAGATAAAGATTTCAGGCTGTGGGTGCTGCCTCGTTCATAATCTCGGGTCCTTCTGTAGACCCCTTGGGGCTGCAGGAATTTCACCTGCTCTGGTGCTGGGAGAAGCACAAAGAGGCAGCCTGTCATGCTGTGTTACAGTCAAGACTGACACTACAGATGGACAGATCCTGGGGACATAAGGGGCTTAGAGAGGCCAGTCTCCACTCTCTCCCCTTGTAGAAACCCCCTCCAACCATCCTGAGTGACAGCTGGTGTCTGTGCCACAGGCCATATAGTCACAGCTCTTGGTTTGTTTATATGCTTTATTTCTAATTCTCCATCTCATGCTGACATCTGAGGAATCAGTGCAGCAATAAAAGAGATGTTTCACTGACACTGTCAGCTGATTTTCCTCCCTTTGTCTTCCTCTTTTTTCATAATGTGATTGATACTTAAGGGTGGGGGACAGTTTGGATGAAAGCCACTTCTCACAGCAGAAACGCAGCAGCATTAACACACTCTAAGCTGCTTCCTTGACTGGAGCCCATTTAGGAAGGCACAGCATGTGGAGACCCTGGTTGTAATTGAGAATATTGGTTTTCAAGTGAGGTGATTTTGCTCCTAGGGGACATTTGGCAGTGAACATTTTAGAATATGCTGGTGGGGAGAAGAGTGGTATTGGCAACCAGAAAGTAGAGGCCAGAGATGCTGCTAACATCCTATAATACCCACACAACAAAGAATAATCCAGTTATATGTCAATAGTGCTGAGGGAAGAAACTCTTCTTTAGAAAGGTTTAAGCTATAATGCTAAAGATAGAAAACTGCAGACTAAAATCCCTAATGAATACTGATGTGAAAATCTTCAACAAAATACTAGCAAATTGCATTCAACAATACATTACAAGGATTATACATCATGACCAAGTCAGATGTATCAAAGTCATGCAAGGATGGTTTAACATATGTAAAGCAATCAATGTAACAGCTACATCAAGAAAAGATAAAATCATAGGATATCAATAGCTATGGAGAAATCGTTTGACTAGATTCAGCACTCATTTATGATTAAAAAAAAAAAAACTCTAAACAAGATGGGACTAGAAGGAACCTACCTCAACATAATAAAGAACTTTTATCACAAATCTACAGTCAATATAATACTTAATGTGCAAAAATGAAAGCTTTCCCCTTAAGATCAGGAACGAGGCAACCATGCCCACTGTCACCACTTCTGCTTCAAATAGTATAAGAGGCTTCAGCTAGAGTAATCAGAAAACAACAGGAAATAAAAAGAATCCAGGTTGGAAAAGAAGGGAAATACGTCATATCTGAAGATGATACAATACTACATATAGAAAACCCTAAAGACTCCACCAAAAAGTAACTATAAAAAATAGACGAATATAGCATAATAGAGGTTCACAAAATCAGGGTACAAAAATCTATTCTATTTTCATATAGAAACAATGAATGAGAAGAAAAAGAAATTAGGAAAATAATCCCATCCACAATCACACCAAAAAGAATCAAATGCCTAGGAATTAATGTAGCCAAGGAAGTGAAGGACTTATATAATGAAAAATATAAGATTCCACTAAAGAAAACAGATGATGATGTAGAGATGAAAAGACATTCCATGTTCATGGATAGAGAGACTCAATATCATCAAAATGACTATTCTACCAAAAGCAATACAAATATATAATGCAATCCTATTAAAAGACCAACAATATTCTTCAGAAAATTTGAGCAAAAAGTAATAAAATTTATTTGGAACCATAAAAGACCTTAAATAGTTAAAGTAATCCTGAAAAACTAGAGGTATCATGCTACCTGACTTTAAACTGTACTATAAAGCAACAACAGTTACAATAATATGGTACTGGAATAAAAATAGACATATGGCTCAGTGGAACAGAATCAAAAGCTCAGAAAAAAAAATCCACATATATATCAATACTTAATTCATGATAAGGAGCCACAAAATGAAGAAAGAAGAATCTCTAACAAATGATGCTGGGAAAACTGGACAGCCACATATAAAAGAATGAACTCAGTCCACTCTCTAACTCCATACAAAAAAAAATTCAAAATAGATTAAAAACTTAGATATAAATATATAGAAGAAAATGTTAGTGATACGTTTCACTGACTTTATCAATGATAAAGCTGTTTTTGGAGACTCAACCCCTACAGCAAGGGAAATAAAAGCAAAAATAAACTGGTACTACCTCAAATGACAAATGTTTTACACATTGAAAGAAAATATAAGTAGATTAAAAAGACACACTACACACTACACATATTCATATTCACTACACATATTCATATTCACTACACATATTCATATTCACACGCTACACAACCAGAAAGGGGTTAATATCTGGGCATTCACTAGCTCCACATGCACTCCTCCACCAGGGAAGGTCAATGTGGAGTGTGCCCTCAGATGAGACGTGGGGACACCTCCAGCAGACCTGAAAGGAAGGGGAGGAGCCACACTCATTTCTGAGGACTGTGTTTCAGTCAAGGTCAAGAAGACAAGCATCTCCCTTCACCACATCCCATCTCTTTGCCATTTTATCCATCTATGTCCTGTTGGTTGTGTTGCTTTATGTCAGTACTGGGGGTGGGAGATGTACTGAGAAAATCCCACCCCCACTTCACTGAGGAGGTGTGCTTTTAAGATGTAGACAAAGACCCAGCCCACCCCACCTGGACCACGCACCTGACCCTCCCCATGCGCTCCAACCCACATCAGCATCCAGAAGGGCAGGGCCAGCATGAAGCCAAGGGTGAGCATCCCATCACCTGGAGTGGCCTCCATGTATCTTGGGGCCCAGGCACCAGCCTCCTGGGGCTCCTTTCGGAGTCCACTCTCAACTGTTGATAGGAGGACAGAGACATATACCCCTGGAAATCCCAAGGAACGGTTCCCCATGGGAGATGCCAGCCCTACTGGGGCACCTTTATCATAAAGTCTGTGATGGGGGGCAAGGGCAAAAAAGCAAGTACCTGCCTGCCAAGGAGGGTGTGGCCTGCAGGTGGAGGTGGGGGGGACTGAGTTTCTTTACTGGGTGCCTTCAATAAACACAGCCTGGTCCTATGCAGGAGTGGCCAAGACCCCAGGGAGAAGCCCCATCCCCCTTCCTCCTCCAGCCTTGAGATGGGAGCCTGGCCCTCTTCACTTGACAGCATCACTTGCTTACAATTCTAGGGCTCTTTTGTTTCATCTCTGCAGTGTTCCCAT